TTTGTTCATTTTGTAATGATATCTTTAGTTCTCTAATTTTGGTGAATATTTTTGTCATTTTTGGTAAAAAGTGATATTTTCGACTTCTTGTTAAAAACCACAAGTCCAATTGCTTTGATATTACATATATAGGTACTACATGTGGACCACTCTCAATTTTGTTCATTTTGTGATGAGTCTCAATTCTCTAATTTTGGTGAATATTTTTGTAATTTTTGGTAAAAAGTGATATTTTCAACTTCTTGTTAAAAACGACAAGTCCAATTGCTTTGATATTACATATATAGGTACTACATGTGGACCTCTCTCAGATTTGTTCATTTTGTAATGATATCTTTAATTATCTAATTTTGGTGAATATTTTTGTCATTTTTGGTAAAAAGTTATATTCTTGTTAAAAACCACAATCATTTATGGTGAAAAATGATATTTTTGAATTCTTGTTGAAAACAGCAAGTCCCATTGCATTGATACTATGCATATTGTTCATTTTCTAATAATATCTTCTGTTCTTTAATTGAAATGTGCATTGCTAACAGCGGAGCTATCTCAGCCGAGAGGCTGCTTGTTTTAAAAGTGATGTAATTTGTATATGTTTGGTATTAATTTAACATTGAAACAATATTTTGACATTAAATTAAGATTTTGACAGGAAAAAGAGTTGCAAGTTGTTTTACCATTAGTACTCCTGAATATTCATACAATGGAATCCTATTATGTCTTCCATTTATTGACTTTCTTGTTCTCTTTCTAGTGCCTGTGCCAAAGGACAAAGGAATTGAAGCAGTATTTGGTAAGCTCTAGTAAAAATTTGCCCCCTCTATATAACCTTTGATGAATATGGACATTCAAGTAATATTTTGTTTTTGCTTTCATTGTTTTCTATTTCTAGAATATTTAAAGACAAACTCATCCAGTGAAACCTGTGTCAGAAATGGGCTGATGTATTTATCTGAAGTCACAAAAAATCAAGGTAATTTATGCTACTCTTGATAAAACCCTGTATTTGTTACAACAAATCTTAGCTTTGCTCTACATACGTGTATGTAGTACACTGTGCAAACAAAGTCTGAACAATTTCCAGTCTATAAAGTTGTTTTGTACGAAGCTGTTTTTCAAGTTGACAGGAATACCTTAATCTGTAAAACATGTTTAACATGTTTTACAGTATTTTAGCGAATTTGACTCCATGCATGAATTAACTGAATCTTAATTTAGCTAACGTGCCAACAATCTCATTGTAAGAATATACTTTGTTTTAAATTAGTGGCATCGTGAATTAGCGAAATTACAGATTAGCTAAATTAGCTAAAATAATATGCTAGCTAAAAAGACATGTTTTACAGTACATTGTGCATGTCACAGTGTTCATAATTCAGACCGAAACAATTTTAGTCTGAAGTAATCATATAATATTTATCTGATGGCCATCGGTAAAATCATTACTCTCATTTTACTTTCAAACTTACTATTATAAACTCTATCTTTTCTGGGCGGGGTTCACTCATAGGTAAGAATCTCAGTTGGTACAAGTATATTGACAAGGATTTATGAGATAAGGGTATGCAACGTCGATATCGATATATGCTGATATGCATTGAATATCTAATTCTGTGGGTACATGTAAGTCAATCAAACACATTTCTAACCAATGACATCACAGAATACAGTGAACGCTTGGAGTGGTTTTATTACATGAACAGAAATGGGTGACATTAGCGATATATTCATACATATGTGTAAATATACAAAGACATTTAGCAAAACCATCTGAGACAAACCCTAACCAGTTCTTTCACAGACTTTATATTTATTTCTAGAAATGTAATTTTGTGATCATCACACAATTAGCACAACTCTTCTTCAATTTGTGTGAAATCTTCATCAATTATCACACCATTTACATACTCTCATTTTATAAATCATTGATTTTAACCATGTTGTGAAATTTTTAAGTACCGGTATATATAGTTTTAATCCAAATTTTAAACATAAGATTTAATTTTTTTGTATTCACTGATGAAATCTGCGAACATTTTTTTTAACATGGGTTAAATGATAGGTATTTCTGGCAATCTGGTCCATCAGTGTTTTTATATATTTTTCTGTTACTGGGCTCATTATTGACACTCACAGTTTTAATCAATCATCTTTGAATAATATTGAGGTAGATCAATTTCACTATTTTGATGTTTTGACAAATTTGACAGGGAAACAATAAGTTCTATTGTTATTCTACATGTTCACATGAATTTAATTTAGCTGATAAGACTTAAAACCAGTGAGTAATTAAATGTGTTTACATTATTTGTATGGAATTTCCTCGGTGAATGTGGACAGGTAACTTTTAGGTTGTGTCATGATTTCTTGACATACTTTGCATGGGTGTAGCATGGCATGGTTTCTGTATATTTTAATAACAGTACCGGTACTATCCAATAGATAATCTGAGTAGAAAGTGAGCATCTTTATTCTGCAGTAATTTAATCTAGCCACATTGCAATTAATATAATGTTTATGCATTAATATTAAAATAAAATTATTATAATTTATTAAACTAGTGAATAGCTGTTATGTATTGATAAATATATCCAAACTTTTTATCAGAATCTTCAAACTGATTACATTCCAATGTAGATAGAGGCTCCAGTCGATGTTTGCTGGTGGATGTCTCCTCAAACTACATCCAACTATGCAAGTCATATTTAGATCTCACAGAAACAGCTTTCAATCTGAACTTGTGTTACACTTTCTAGTAATCCACATCCTAATTA